GCGTTGCAAAGGACAATTGACGTGATATACAACCACATTAGGAAAATGAACATGGCTTGTTAACAGGATTAATCGGCGCGCATGCATGTACGACCTAAGTATCCCGGAGCTGTTAGATCCCCAGAGCTTCAACTAATACTACCAGGCAAACAATCAGGAGAGAAACGCAGCTTCGAATTCTGGGAATGCACGTCCGAGTAACGGGGAGCACATCGCACAACCTTGCGAATCTTAAGCCCACGTGAGGAGTATCACCAACCTCTCGGGTTGTATCGCTCACAGTACAAGAGGCATGCGCGAAGCTGGCACCTTAGGCTAGTGCACGCCTCCCTAGTCAGCCGTATCACTTATCCACTGGCTTATGAAGCAACCCATAGGATAGACATCAAGCCAGCGGACCGACTCCTTCAAAACTGCTTGGAATGCAGCCCTTGAGCTGCCGCAAAACGCTAGCACCACAACTTTATCTCAGCTCGGAATGCTGAATACATACGGAGAATATACAACAGCTTCACTCCTCGCCCAGTGTGACTGGCTAAACACCACACCACAAGGACAAGGCTATACTGTACCAGGTTAGCTTTCCTCTCTCCCCGAACTACTGTGGAGGTAGTACAGAAATACTCCCTCTCACTACGCTCGCGGATACGCATGGCACTTAAAGTGCGTCACATGCACCCAATCTTCCACAGTGTGCGACGCCATGCGCGACGCCAAGGTCATGCACGGAAGCTTCGCAAACACAGCACTAATCCGGACGTGTACTATACAGACTCTTGCCTTGCAACACTACTACAGGTGGATCAGGTACGTACACGGCAATGGCCAGTGAAAGGGGAAAGCTGGTGGCAGCAGCGAAAATGCTTATATTTTCCGTCACAACAGCGGAGGCCGCTGCGATTCTCCTGGCCATCACAGACGCGGACAAGCGAGGTAGAAACTCCACCATCTTCACGGATTCACAAACAGCATGTCGACTTGACATGCATGGCACAGTACCACAAAGTGTTCTAAGAATACTTGCCTTACATATTGTATGTCACCACGGCATGATTTGGTGCCTGGTGCACACAGGTTTTCCCGGTAATGAACGGGCGGACCAACTCAACCACGCAAGTACATACCGAGCGACGGACGCACCTGCAGACAACGCCGTTACCCCTGACTACGATGAGCGACCAAGCAGTCGAGTGGACATTCTCAAAGCTCAACGATTGGAGTGACGCGCTTCGGCGCCACTTAATCTAGAACTAAACGAAGCACAGTCAAGAGACTGGCGCCGTTTCATACTGAACACGTACCCCAACCTAGCCACACTTTCTAAAACAAACCCTTCTGACTATCAAGATGAGTGCCCCTGGTGCAGAGGCGTACCCACACTTCTACACATTACATACAGCTGTCCCTCGCACCCTGTTGCGGTAGACTTGTCGCTCATACAAGCACAGACATTACCACACTAGTCGCGGGAGGCGCGACTCTCGGATCAGGCACTGGGAAACCAATCGGCAATCCTGGACCAGGCCCGGCGAGCCGCTATAGACAGTGGAGCTCTGGACGAAGGGCCCTATTCACTTTTGTTACTGACAGTACAAACTAAACGTTTATTCTCTGTCTCTTTCTCTGACAGTGTGCGATTCGTTTTCATCTGCCGGTTTATCATGCATTTCTGCATTTCCTTCTTGAAAATTGATATCGCTTGCCTCGACGTCGTCACCGGACGCTCCGGCTGCCGGTGAGACCGGCTCCATCGCGTTTAGTGCTGCCTTCAAACCTGTCAACAATAAACTTAAACCAACAAGAATATGCAAGGGGCTCGTAAGGATGAAAAAACTAAAAACAACAATCCAGAGAAGCGTATTCAGCATCGGCCAATGAGAACCGATAACTTGCTTGTGCACATAACCAAAAAGAACTGGCATAAAACATATGCAACCAATATAAATGAAACGTGGTAATGCCACCGTAATAGGAATCGGTTAAGCAACGAAGCGAAATTTTAATATATAGAGGTAGTTTATTTTACTGTTTATTGATATAACAAAACTTGCACAAAGTCTGTCGATGTTTGACAGCTACAGCAACCTTCAACGTGAAGGCACGAATGTTGAAGCTTAGGGATACATTTACAATACTATGAATAACGTCCATGCCACATGATTAAACAACCGCTTGTTGTCCGAGATAGTTCTGGTAGCTGTAGCAGTTGACGGTAGAAGCGGAATAAAAGTAAGTGACGTGGCAACCAGGAGTAATGTCACTCAATAGATGCTGAATTGAACCCCTGCTCACAGCATGATAAATTGTTGAACACCACTGCCCGGCTAGATAAAAACGCAACCTTAGTGATGTGTACGCCGTTCACCGGCCGCGATTTTTTGTGGGTTGAGGCTAAAAGCCAATGCCGGTGTTTTTCCTAAGTCATTGGATCTCAATGAAATTCTATGAGTACACTCATTTGTACGATTACGCCATTCAGTGCGAAATCGTAGGCTGGAGAATTTAACAGAATATTTTCAATTGTAGTTTATAGCCCCCCTCCAAACGCCCACCTCACTTTACAGAAGTAATAGCATCATTGTAAATGTGACGTTGATTTTCGCAAGTGGTGGAAGTGACGGAACTGGTGTGTCAGTGCAACTTGTGGCCAATAGGACGATGGTCAAGCATTCTCTTTTTGTCCGTTCGCGTTCCCGTTACGTAACACGCCATATTTTACGAGCTTACAGCTAGCTGAACAAAAATGTCTTGAATCGAACCTGATAACTCTCGCAATCGAACGGGACTTTGGCTCTGAATGAAAAAAGCGAGTTTAAAAAAACGGCTTTGCTCTTTCGTTAGGCACATTACTATTGACAAATTAACAAAAAATAGTGCCAATGAAGTACATGACACCTTTTTAAGTAGTTCTTATGTATACATGCCAAGAAAGGAATGTTCACAAAACGATAACTAGTCCCTACAAGTTGCAAGTCATCTTTTCGTACACTCTGATTTCTTCACAATTACTTGTCCTCTATACTTACTTGGCCTAAATGTCTGTTAGTGCTCAATATATAAAAATAACAAAATAAAACGACCAATTTAATGTACAATTTTTTTCGTACTTCTTGCTAGCGGCTACAACAAGGTGGTAGTTCTGTGTCTTAGTAGAAGCATCACTTTGTGCCACCTGCTGCCTGAATCGGTGGTGTAGTGGTTATGGCGTTCACTGATAATCAGAAGGACATGGGATTGAATGACGGCGGCAGCACCTGAATTTTCGTTGGATGCGAAAATAGTTAAGGCCCCTGAAGCTAATTTTGTGTGAAGGTTAATGAGCGCAGATGTTCAAACACGTGGGAGCCCACCTCTCACTATATTCTCCCCCACTAACTCGAATATCTCAGCCATCTGGCGGAATACCAATTGTTGCAGAACTACGCAGTCTTGGTCTCTACGTCTTTTCTACTGTGAACGCTGGCTTGGGCCTCTTCGGCGCAATAGCGAACAGGTTCGTCATATGATTCGGCGGGTATCCACCTAACGTGGCGGCCTTCGTGGTCAGCACTTCCTCCGCTTTCCTCACGCGTATGTGACCAGCGGAGTCATCTGCGCACCGCCTAGCTTCTCTTGCGTCGCCACAACAAGAACTAGCTCAACGCATCGGCTGCAATTAGTTTATAAGCGAGAACTGTACTTTCTCATTGCTGCCTCGAATCGTCGCTTTGCTTCATTGGCAGTGCACAATTCGTATGCCGAGTTGCGGGAGGCTCACGGCCTCAATCAAATGAACCCCCTGTCCCAAACAGCTCTTGGGAGTCACCTTCTGGACAAGCTCGCGCTAAACCCAATCTCAAATGCACCACCCAATTTATTCGTCGTGGGAGTTAAGGGGCGAAAAACTTTGAGTTCTTTGAGTTCTTTGTATCAAGGATTCCAGTAAACACACAGACGTACACCTGCCCAAACACAATTTCTGTACAGTCGGTACGCCGACACTCATGGTTCCTTCTCAGGCCCAACTTTCTCGGGACACTTCAATGCGGCATGTGATCTCCGAGGGCCACCACATTTACGGCCTCTCTTTCCGCACACCTGATGCTACTAGAATGAAGAGGTAGCCATTGCTTTCGCCCCCTCTCAACCCTCAGCAAGAGGGATCATCATGGATTCGTGTTTCACATGTTCCCAATACCTGCCCGGTAGCATAGCTGCTCTAACCGCCAGTCTAGTGGCTAAGGTACTCGGCTGCTGACCCGCAGGTTGTCGGTTCGTATCCCGGCTGCGGCGGCTGCATTGCAGGCGGAAATGTTGTAGGCCCGTGTGCTTAGATTTGGGTGCACGTTAAAAAACTCCAGGTGGTCAAATTTCCGGAGCCCTCCACTACGGCGTCTCTCATAATCATATGGCGTTTTTGGGACGTTAAACGCCACAAATCGATCCTATAACCGCGGACCTTTTTCACGCTGCCTCATGGCGCCCCACAAATCAATCCTCTAACCGCGGACCTTTTTCACGCTGCCTCATGACGCTGACTCATGCTGGTCTCCCCAAGTAACAAAGCGGCTCATGCCGCTGCCTGCATTTTTTTTCGGGCTGTCACGTCTTTCGACCCGCGTCTCTCCCAGGCACTTCAGCTCTTACGCACTGCCACGAAATTCTCGATAACTATCGCACCTCACGCCGTGTTTACTTAGAAACTGCACACGGTTTCTCTAAATAGGGCGAGCGACCTCTGAGACGTTTGAAGACAAACACCTTCTTGTGTCCTGCAGCCGCCCAGCATTTCATGTCGGGTATATATGGCTACTGTGCGCATTGTGGGTGGCTTCCCGGCACCTACGTCATGATTTCAGTATGCCCCGCTATACTTCTTTCTTTTCCAAGCTCCTTTCCCATAGTCACAAGAGTGGCTTGGAAAGAATTCTTGCCCGGCTGCTCCAACCTGGACGCTCACCGTTCTTTGGTGCCCTGTGCCCTAGCAGCAATGATCTCCAGTGAAATTGTGGAATAAAGAGATGACCCAAGTGCGTTTGTAGTGGAACTCTAAGTGTTTCTAATTAAACGCTTTTCCATCACCACTACTATGGCGTCTCTCATGATCCTACCAGAGTTTTGCGAAATAGAACTCCATGTAATATTATTATTGTGGTCTTTGCATTTTTTAGCGTGTATAAGGATTCCGCAGTAGAAGTTTGCGGCTTTAGGTCTCTTGTGCCACTAAATTGTATTTGCCAACTGCGTAGCTAAACTGCATTTCACACTGTGCAGTGTCAAGAAGATTTACAGATCAGCAACACTTCACAAGATGATGTCGCCAAATTCTGCATTGTCACCTCAACCTTTGTACCTCTTCTTTTTACAAAATACCAAGCGCACTATATGATAGACTTGAACAACAAAGTAGCACACAGATTGAAAGTTTTTTGAGGAATACGCGGTGTGATAATTACACCAACGACCATACCAACATGCGCATCAATTTCACTATAGGAGTAAATACCAACTTTAGAAGGCGTTATGCTTGTACCTGTAGCGTAGACGTGCGCAAAAGCATTTCACTCTAAGAGACTGGTATATTCTGCCCATTGCGGACGTTTGTGAGTTTCGCACACGGCGAGTACAATGTGCCTAGCAGATGGTGCGAGCAACCATCCTCACTACGCTGTTTCGTTCATACTGCTCTAGGTGCTTACTCTGTTTCATCTAGAAACCATTACAAACATCGTACAAGTTCTCTTATCCCAGTTTGCACTAAAGATCAACTACTACTGGAAAGACGTTTTACCTTCGCGTTAAGTCGATTCCTATGAAACAGGAATTGAACAATTTTTTTCAGGACTCCCATTCTCGGTTCAATATCACACAAGTCCAAGCGTATTCATTGGACAACCGAAGGCTTTCGTTGAGCAACAACAGCTGCCAGCGGCGAAAACGCACGTTCACCTTTGAAAACGAAACGGTAGGTGTGCCAAATAGTTATTGCGCCTGAACGCATATGTGCCTTGCTGAACGCTGGAGCATCGTTCTGGCAGTTTTACCGGTGATATTTTACTAGTATTTGCCGTAACAAATAAGGCGGACAATGCATTATGTATTGCCACTGTTCTTGATTTCACAACAAAGTTGTCTGGGCACCTACTATGGCTGCTGCTTCTCCTCCTCTTCATACTAATATTTTTGCTACTACTACTACTACTACTACTACTACTACTACTACTACTACTACTACTACTACTACTACAGCAGCAGCAGCAGCAGATGTAGTAGCTGTAGCGAAACTGGGTTTATTGTTGCAAGTAGCACTTGCAGAGCAGGTATATTGATTCTGAAAGTGGGCGGCAACAACAGACACAAGATTCACAGCACTAGGGCCACCAGCTCGCACTCGGCTTCTTTTTCTAGGGTCGTGACCAACTGCAGCACATCATCTTCTTCTTTCTACAATACCTTGGCGGCGAACATGAGCCATTCTGGCAAGTCAAGGTGACGAGAGTAGGAGTGGGTCGTGATAGTGCTTGGGGCGACTCATGTGGACAGTCCAAGGAACAAGGTGGCGCCTGTCTATTATTTCATAATACCCCTAAAGGCCCTCGAAGGTGTATTACATAGGGGAACGGACACATGAAACAAATCATTGTACGCTTATACAATGTAAAAACAAGTTTATACAAAATATTGAAAGCGAGCTAAACACAAACAACAACAACAACAACGAAAACCATATACTTTGGAAAAAAAATAAGTAGAGATAGATTATTCACTACTTCAAACATAAATTAAGGGCACTAACAAATACAGTATACAAGGAAAAAAACTAAAACGAAGGCATGATCTTAAGATACAAAAGTTTGCAATTAACCCATAAATAGCACAAATCAAGCGTGAACAATGGTCGTGAAAAACATTAACCCATGATAAGAAGAAAATTAAAACACAGATGTACATATGAAAAGCTTATTGATAGTACGCACGGTGGATATCTAGTCAGAAATGTTAAGTAAATGTTCGCGAAATTTTGTGTAATCTGCTTGAGTGGCAATGTGGGATGGCAAGTTATTCCATGCAACTATTGTTTGAAGAAAAGGAATTAGCATAATGAGCTGAGTGACAAGTTATACGTTTTATCTTGAAGATATAGTCTGTTCGCAGAAAGATGCACTGTTGGTGCTTCGAAGATGCGGTGAAGGTATGGGTGATTACCCGAGATAGTTTAGTAATATTATGGTTCACGTAATCATACTATGTCATGCTGTGTGAAAAAGACACTCTTAATGATTAAAAAATTTTGACTACTTCAATTTCTGTGTTATATAACGAAATGATAGGAAACTGAATTTGTGTATTTCGAAGGTGAAATAAAACAGCTTTTTTTATTTATATTTAGTTTTAAGAAGTTTTCTTGGGCGCAGAAGCTAATTTTAGACAATGCGTTATTTGCTCGACTACCTAGATTGCTGCTGCATCTGCTTGAACAAAAAACTTGTATTGTCAGCATATTGTTACGAATAAATATACCACCTGGTACTATATAAACTCTTTATTCAGGGCGAACTTGTGCCCGTAAACTTGAAGCTAAAAATGGTCAGCCAAAAAATGTCTGCGCCCCTGACTCTAACTTCGTCGGTCTCCTCTTCTGCCCCTCGAGTCTCGTGCCAGTCTCATGGCGTAGCATCGTGGCGCGTGCAGGACGGCGTTCCATGGCGCGGCTTTCTTGCTACTTGCTTCACGGCTTTTACGAACGCGAATTGTGGTACGCGTCTTCTGCGATGGTCGAGCTGTGGCATTAGTCCCCCTCCTAGCACGCATCGCCCCGATGCGTAGAGCCGGCTGACAGTTTCTAAACAATAGGACTTCTCCTTGTGTTAGACGACGTTGTTCAGTTCCTGTCGTAGTACGGTTTCATACGTACTACATGTACAACTTCCGGGAGATTCCTGCGTCGTGTTGTGCATACTTGACCTTCAGGGATCACTTCGTAGTTTAATGGGCCTAGCTGACGAAGAACCCTGTAAGGGCCAAAATAGCGCCGCATAAGCTTTTCTGATAGGCCACGTGCACGTACAGGCGTCCAGACTCACACTTGGTCTCCAGGGGAGTACTGAACATCCCTTCGTCTTAGATTGTAACGGTGCGCGTCGACGTTCTGCTGTTTAATGATGCGGTTCCGTGCTAGTTGTCGCGCCTCTTCTGCCCTTTCTACATATTCGCTTATGTCAGGGTCCTCTTCATTCGTGCTGTTGACAGGCAGCATCGCGTCTAATGTCGTTATTACTGTCCGACCATAAACAAGTTGAAATGGCGTGAAGTGGGTTGTCTCTTGTACTGCGGTATTGTATGCAAATGTAGCATACGGTAATATGGTGTCCCAAGTCCGATGCTCGACGTCCACATACATCGCGATCATGTCAGCAAGCGTCCTGTTCAGCCTTTCAGTTAACCCGTTAGTTTGCGGATGGTATGCGGTAGTTCTTCTGTGGTCGGTGCGCTTTAGTTTCATGACAGACTGTACTAGCCTGGCAGTGAACGCAGTTCCTTTGTCAGTTTTAAGAACTCTAGGTGCGCCATGTCGCAGCACTATCTGGGTCACAAAAAACTGAGCCACTTCATTTGCCGTTCCTTTTGTGAGAGATGACGTCTCGGCATACCGGGTCATGTAGCCGGTTGCTACAACTATCCAGCGCTTCCCAAACGATGACATAGGAAATGGTCCTAGCAAATCCATTCCGACCTGCTCAAACGGGACTTTCGGTGGCTCTATCGGTTTCAAAAGACCTGCTGGTTTTAGGGGTGGTACTTTGCGTCTTTGGCATTCTCGACATGATCTTACGTAATGCTGTACTGAATCCATCAATTTTGGCCAGTAATATCTGCGGCGGATTTTTGCCAAAGTCCTACTAATGCCCAAGTGACCTGCCGATGGGTCATCATGACACGGTTCTAAAATTTCCGCTCGCAGTGATGATGGTATCAGCAGTAGGAACGTTTCACCGGTGTGTTTAAAGTTTCTCTTGTAGAGAACGTTGTTGCGGAGGACGTAGGAACGTAGTCCACGGATGAAAACTCGCGGTACTTCGACTTGCTGCCCCTCTAAGTATTGAATGAGCAGAAGTAATTCTGGGTCCATTCGTTGATCATGAGCCATCTCCGACACATTCACAGCTCCAAGAAATGCGGAGTCTTGTTCATGCTCAGGAGACGAGTTCTGGATTGGTGCTCGTGACAAGCAGTCCGCGTCATTGTGCTTGTGGCCAGACTTGTAGACTACGGTGATGTCATATTCTTGTAGACGTAGGCTCCATCTAGCAAGTCTTCCGGAAGGATCCTTGAGGTTCGCAAGCCAGCACAATGAATGATGGTCACTGATTGCTCGGAATGGTCTACCGTATAAATATGGACGGAACTTACTGATAGCCCATATCACTGCGAGACATTCCTTTTCCGTAGCTGAATAATTATACTCAGCTTTCTACAGAGTGCGGCTTGCATAAGCAATAACTTTTTCTTCCCCGTTCTGCCATTGAACAAGAATAGCACCGAGGCCAACGTTGCTGGCGTCCGTATGAATGTCTGTTTTGGCATCTTCGTCAAAATGAGTAAGTATGGGAGGTGACTGCAAACGCCGTCGTAACTCAGAGAAGGCGTCTTCTTGCTCTTGGTGCCAGATGAATGGCACACCTTCCTTCGTAAGCCGTGTCAGTGGTTCCGCAATCTTGGAGAAATTTTCAACAAAGCGCCTATAGTAGGCACAAAGCCCCAGGAAACGTCGCATAGCTTTCTTGTCTCTTGGCCTTGGGAAATTTTCAACCGCAGTGATCTTATCCGGATCTGGGCGGACACCGTGAGAACTGACAATGTGCCCGAGGAACCGGAGCTCCCGGAACCCGAAGTGGCACTTTTCGGGTTTGATTGTAAGTGCAGCCATACGAATAGCGTCCAGTACCGTTCTCAATCTCTGTACATGCTGCTCGAACGTAGTGGAAAAAATTACTACGTCATCCAGATAGACAAGACATGACTGCCATTTGAGGCCGGAGAGCACAGTGTCAATCATCCTCTGGAAGGTAGCGGGAGCAGAACACAAACCAAATGGGAGTACTTTGAACTCGTAGAGTCCGTCGGGTGTCACAAACGCCGTCTTTCCCCGATCTCGTTCGTCGACTTCTATTTGCCAGTACCCGTTCTTTAGATCCAACGATGAAAAAAAGTGAGCATTGCGCAGTTTATCCAACGTATCGTCGACTCGTGGGAGTGGGTACACATCTCGCTTCGTGACGAGGTTGAGTTTTCTGTAATCAACACAGAACCGCATGGTGTTGTCCTTCTTCTTCACCAGTACTACCGGCGATGCCCATGGGTTTTTGGAGGGCTGTATGACATCGTCGTCGAGCATCTCCTGTACTTGCTTCTTTATCGCCTCCCTTTCTTTTGGAGCTACTCGGTATGGATGCTGACATACTGGTCTAACATGCCCTTCGATTACAATGCGGTGCTTTGCTACAGGCGTACGTCCGACTTTCGAAGAAGAAGAAAAACACTCTGCGAATTCCTTGATCAACTCCACAATATGGTCTTTCTGCAGAGATGAAAGCTCTCGGTCAATATCTATTTTCTCGAGGACACTTTCAACTGTTGAGGGCGTTGTAGGTACTTTTTCTATGGTGCAAACATCTGAGACTTGTACGTAGTCATGAAGTGATGCTATGGCTGCTCCCTTCGCCACATGCTGTACCTCGTTGGTAAAGTTAGTCAATAGCACATCAGTATATCCGTTCCGCAGGTTCACTAGACCTCTCGCCACGCGTATTCCCTTTGTGAGCAGCAGTTCGACATTTCCATCAGCTAGTCCGGCATATTCACGAAAAATGTCGCTTTTCACAGAAACTGTCACGCTGCTACGTGGCGGCACTGTCACACCTTCATCCACAATACGAAGAGACGAAACAATTGGTTGCTCCGCAT